TGTCTAGGAAAGAAACCCAAACGCGCAGAGATGGTTTTTGTAACGAAAACTTTCTCTTTTAAAAAGAGAAAATCGAACAGCTTTTCGAAGGAAAAAAGTAGTAATTACATCGAATCCCGTAACTACTTGTTTGTATCTACCTCGTGACAACGATGACGTATAGTTATCCAGTCGCCTAGATTAATCGCCCGGGTCCCATACTTTGTAACACAGTCATTAAGCGCTTCTACGGCGGTCTTCTGAATTATGCATTCAACGATGTTCGAGATTGGAGACACTTGTTCGACACCGATCGCATCGGAAACATTGAGAAAATAACGCGAACTTGGTAGCAGCGACTTTAATCGTATTCGAATTTCGTTGCTTCTAGCAATCTGTTACGTTAATAGTCTGCTACCCGTAAACTGCTGAATGTCTACCAGCTGATCGACACGATCGATAGCCTGTCGCGATCGTGTTTAGAGAGTATTGGAAATACAGACGGTGGAATAAACGAGACTTTTAGTTTACCGTTGATTTTGAACACTTTATTTGAAACAATAGGAAGGGTTAGAAAGAAGCAGCTCGAATGAATGCGAGGTCGGTAAAGAAGAATTATCGTACACCCTATCGGTCCCATACTTGGTCTAAACAAGTCAAGATGAAACATAGCTCTGCACTCTCTTGACTTGTGTCTAGCAAGGAAACCCAAATAGCGATGGTTTTTGTAAACGAAAAACTTTCTCTTTTAGGAAGAGAAAATCTACCAGAGAATTTCACTTGAATGGAAAATAAGCCATTATTTGAAAGTTTCATTTCGTGGCGATCAGCACTCGAAACAACCGAAATAATATATAGATGTTACGCATGCCACGCAATTTTGCTGGTAACCGTCGGTAGCCGCGTTGCCCCGACGAAGAGGAATAGCGCGTCCGTCGCGAATGAGAAACTCGTTCAGACCACCGCTGGATCGCCGTCCAGCTCCTCGATTTGATTGAAACCTTTCCGCAGGGTGCAGGTCAGAGGTGACAGTGCAATACAAAACCCATATTTCTCGTATGGCGGCGCCGCGTGTACGGGCTACTATAAGGATTTCCACGAGTTCCTTTTTCTGATCGGCGGCGGATGTAATTTTATTAGCGTGACGGATGGCCGGGTAAAGGCAACGAACGAGTCGAGCCCGATTCGAATTGCTTGAATAGCTGAACGGCTACGTTGCCGAACACTTTACTACTTTCCTAATTGAAAGTAATCGAATCGTTATAACGTGTCGTATAAAAATGCTACGCGCGGCTCTTTGTCTCGCGCGAGGTCAGAAATAATAAAATACACGAACGGAGGCTGCGGTACAATACAGCGTTGAGTAAATGTTTAGATTATTGGTTCGAATATCGAGCGAATGTTTATTTGATCGGGTCGAATGTTCCTTAGGGGGAATGCGTTTGTTTGAACAGAGTGCAAGCGATACGTGAGAACGAAGAAAGAACGTCTGTGACACTTGAACGAACGAATGGGTAGTTCTGTTAGCGAAGTCATCAAAAAAGTAAAAAAATTACGCCAAGTACATGAAAAAGTGGAGGACTCGAGAAGTTATCATTGAAAAATAGATCCCCATAAAAAACTACAAGACAGTAGAAAAATATGTGAAATCGAAACGAGCTGCCACTACGCGAGTGCCTCCTCTAATAAATTATACGTATAAGTGGTATCTTTATTTTACACTCGTTTACGACCGCAGTTTTATTTGCCGAAATATTTAACAATGTGAAAATGACGAACGTCGTTGGATTGTACTCTATCTTCCTTTTCTTCATCCGTCATCTTCTTCCAAGAAGAGAATAATCGATGCCGCGACAAAGAACGCGTGAATATAAAGAAACGCGGAGAATTACGCGTCGAGGATCGATCGAAACATCCCGTACCCGGCGAAACAACGGGATGAAGACATTTCTCAGCGTCGAGGTTCCTGGAAGCAGTTGGAGGAACCTCGGATGGCCGCAAGAAAAAGAGGAGGACGCGCTCGATCGAGCCGCGTGCGCCCGTGTAACTTATCGTTACCCACCGAATTAAATTAGGCGATCCAATTTTAGGCCAGTTACGCTCGGGACGATGTATCCTCAATCTTTTTAATCGATCGTCTCGTTCGAACGACCCGTTCAATTTTTCCAACGGTTCGTTTTCGCTGTCTTATTTTTTCTCGCAGTTTACCGATTCCCTTCCAACGTTCTTGCACGAGACACCTGCCCGTAGGTGGGTTCCAAGGAAGGTTGCTCGTGCCGCGATGCGCTGGGACCATTTTGCGGCGGCAGCGGAATCGTTGCTTGATCGCCGCTCGTTTCTGTAAGATCGGATTAAGGAATTCAGGATGGAATCCACAAGGCGCACAAAAACACCGACAATACTAGCGTAAAAGATTATATATTCAGTAAGCCTCGATGCAAGTCGGTACAGTTCTGACCTCCGCCGGAAAGCACAGTCGCGAGGACACTTCTAACGTCAGGCCCTTCGTCCACGAAAGTCGTCTGTCCTAAAACCTCCTTTAAGAAGGAGAACGCTTAAGAATATCCTAACGCTGTCTGTAATATTCTAACATTTCGGATATCGAGGTTGAGCTTTCCACTCGGTTTAACCGGTTGATGTACAGAGTCACCATAGTACCAATTCGCTCGTTTCTTTTCTTCTCGTTACTCGCGAAAGTCATCGAGTCGTTCTGTAGAGCTTGGGGCCACCGAGTAACGCGTCAAGCTGACCCCTGCTCTCGTAACTAATGTTCCTGGGTGGGACGCGATAGCGCTTGCACTCTGACCAGAAAAAATCAAATGACTAAAGACTCAGGGTGCCGGGAGTTAACGGTTATTAGGGAACCATCAACGGAAAGCATAAAAGATGAAACGAAGATTCGTAGCGACCTCGAGACATCCAGGGGGACTTCGTACACCGAGAATTTGACGTCGTACCCTCTATTTGAATAACTGTTGATAAGGTATCCGGTATTATCGGTAAACCTGTCAGTTAGCAACTGTGAACACGACGTGTCTTTAGATTAACGGAGTTGCACGAGCGAATCGGAACCAACAGAGCCACGAGATCGAAGAGGATTCTGGCGAACGTATTTATGCGTCCCCTTCGACCCTAAGCAACCGAATAGCCGATAAATAAGAAACAGGCAAAGGGGTAGCGCGTGCGTTTAATTGGTCGGCGATAAATACCGGACTCCTCCTGTTCGATAGAAAATGCAATTAGTCGGTAAAAAAAGAAATAAGCCATCGAAAGATTGGCCAGCGATGGAATGCGCCTCGAGAAAAGGAGCAAAGAGGCGAAAATCGTCGGGAGGCTGGAGCGAAATGCACCCGTTCCTGGTGCTTGGCAGCGATCAGTTGGATCGGAGGATACGCTGGAATCTTGGAGGATACGGGTAACGATGATTAAGCGATGGAATTCTTGTTGGCCATGGAAAACTCCGTATCATTAGGCGATCCGGCAATAGTCGAGAAAGGGACCAGTTCCCGTTGCGTTACGTAAGAATTTCCTGATCCCGTGGAAGGTTCAATGGACCTGGGTGGAGACACTCGACTAGTCTAGTTCGCTAGTTTGCTAATTAGGATCTTCGAAGTTTCGAGTTGATAGTTGGGTGGTTGAAGACTACGCATTGGCTGCGTTTCGGTATACGAGACCGATTAGAGACGGTCGAGTCCTGTTGGGAGTAATCGGGATCTTAAATTTCATCGATCACGACGCTAGCCAGGTGATGGAGTACCATCTTCAGCGTCCGTTGAACGATGCGCCTGGGTGACCGAGGCAGGGGGTCTATGGAAGTTGGACGACTCGCTCGAACGCAGCTCGTTTTCATTTTCACAGACCCTGTCAGTCACCCGTCGTACGACTAATATTTTGACCTGGTACACTTGGACGTCCGAAATATAGGTTCCAATAAAACGTTCTCGTCAGTCCTGGGACCTGTTTGACGAGATCCTCGTTTTAATGTCAGTAAATCCTTCCGTTAATGGTCAATTAGCAACTATAAACATGACGTGCCCCTAGATTAAAGAACTTACACGAGAAAATCGAGAGACTCGAGCATCCCAAAAAAAAAAAAGCATCCCAGTGTATCGAGTGTATCGAGAGTATCTGCGGTATCCCTCAGTGGTTCGGTCCATTTTCTATAGAACCGGTCGGGTAATCGTTTGGATCGAACCGTTGCTGCTGCAACAAATTCACAAAATCGAGAATCCACCCACTTAACAATCAGACCAGAACCTCTGCATCGATTATTTTCTAAAGTCCTCGGGCTGGGGATCGACATACAGGCGATGGTCGCCTATATGAATCTACTAACAGCATCGAACTCAACCAGTGGAGGACCCTAACGATCCGTCGTACAGTTGCAAGAAGCTACGAAACTTCTCGTAAAATGTCTGTCTTCGGGATAGACCTGATTTCTCACTTAAATAATCGCGTTTTCCAAACAGAAAACACCGTATCCTCTCGCAATTACGAAATTTGTATTCAGCCGCGATTTTTCGTAATTTTGCGATCCGAATTGCGTACCGGCCGTGTCGGTCCAGCGCGAGATCGCCTTCGGGGGGCTGTTATTCGTCGCGACGCAGGCTGCGCACGCACACGTCGAGGCACTGGCGGCGTAAAAGCAACGCGAGCGCGCGCGTACACGAACGGGGGCCCCTTCGGCGAGGCGTCGGGGCCCGACACGCCACACGTATTAGAAACGAATATAAATATATCGGGAAGGAAGGCAGCCGAGCCTTGTGGAGGGGGTAGCCTGGCTGGCATTGGCGGCGCGGTGGTTACGCTCACCGACGCAGCGGTACAGCGGGGAACGGGCCCCTCGTTCTCCGTTCCCTCGAGGGGCCCTCTGGACGGTGGTCTGCTAGCACCCCCCACCCTTCTCCGCGGGCTCGGAGTCCCAGTGTACGCTCAGTGTCCGCTCGGCCACAGCACGCCCGAGTAGAAAAGCCCGGGACACCGCGACTAAAATCGTTTCGACTCGTTCGTGCTCAGCGCCGCCGGCTGGGCCCTAGTGCCGCCAATTAACCGCGAGGCCTCGCGAGCAGTGCGCTTACATCCTCGAGCACACCATTATTCGAGGCTCGAGACCGCGACCCACGCTTCGCGCGCATTTTCGAGCAGTGACGCGCGATATCGGCAGTTTCAGGATCGATCCGCGACGTGATCGACGGTGCTTGGACTAGCGATCCTCGTCTCCAGGAGCCTCGAGTCCCAGAATACCTGTTACGAGGCAGAACGCCTGACGAATAAATCTAGGACGCCGGTTATAAAACCGTTTTAATTGCGCGTGGTCAACGCCGGTTGCGACGTGGTGCCATCAGTTCCTATGTAGCAGGGCCTCGCGAGATCTGGGACCGTTCCAAACGCACGTTGATCAGTGATACGCTGGACATTAGCCACACCAGTATTAATCCACGGCGTTGGTGACTTCTCGCGTGATCGACGACGGATGTACCAGCGCCCTAGGACCCCGAAGCACGTTCAGTGTCCGTTTCTTCGCGGCGTCCTGGATTAGCGAAGACGGGATCGTCCTGTGAAGAATTACTACTTGTACTTGTTTCTCGGTGATTTGGGCCACCGTGCGCGTTTTCGGGGCCTCACGGAGTGTTCGAATCTTCGAAAACCGCGAGATTGTTCCAGAATCTCCGCGGGCGGATATCGGCAGCGACTCGCGACATGCTTGGCCCGTGATCGTTGGGCCCGTAGACTGCAGAGTGATCAACGGTGGATGGAGATCCGCTCCGGGCCCGTGATGACGCTGTCTTCCGACCGGTGGATCGTTCCGCGAACCTCAAGATGCGCGAACATCGCGCGTCGAGGGCCCTACGTGCATCGAGTTGGTTCGAACGAAGTCCAAAGAGGCCCGATCGGGAATTGACGCCTCGAGGAAACCCTCTGGAGAACTCCGCGGCCGATTCCACACCCAAGGACACGCGGGAGGGACCGGGCCCAGCGTTCCGTGGGTCCACACTTCGTGACCGCGCGAAACGTTATCGGTTTCCCTTTGTATCCGCGGATACGCGCCGCGTATTAAAACGTTAATCTCCGGCCGTACTACCGGTTATACGTACAGATTGGCTCTCCCTTCCTCCAGACTGTCTCTCTTTCCTGTTCTCTTCGTTTTTCTGTTCGCCGCCACCTTTCTCTCTCCTTCAGCTCCTCTCCCCTCGCTAGCTTTCGCCCGATCCCCTCCTACCACCGCGGGCCACGGGGCCTCTGTCTCTTCCTTGCCGTCGGGCCACGTCCTTATTGCCGTGATCGCCGCGTGCCATGATCACCGCGAGACCCCAGAGATTGCCAAGATTCTCGTCCAGATGAAGATTTCGAGCGGCGAACAAAAGATGTCCGTGAATCGATAAACCGGCGTTTGCTATCGCGGAATGCAGTCGCGGTGAACGAGACTTTGCGGACGGTGGATAGAACGACGACTACTGGGACAGTTACTCCGAGGGAATAATACTCGAGACTTTTGGTGATCGCAATTGTCGCGATCTACGAGAATAAAAATTCGTCCGAATTCAATGCGCAGTGTCGTTCCTTCGCTGGGATATCGTTTGCGATCAAGCCCCTAAGCCGTGTTTGATCGTCCGTGGAAACGGGACCTCGAGGGATCTCCATCGACGCGGTGTCCACTTGACGATGACGGCTTCTTCTTCCTCTCCGTTGTCTATGCCCCCTTCTTCCTCGTTCTCTTCGTCCAGGTGGCTCCACCTGGACCGCGACCGAGACCACGATCTTATCGAGCGCCGTCCAGGCTGATCGAGGCGAAGAACGATCGGTAGGCTATCGTCGGATGATCGCGGAGAGGCTTAACGCGGCTGGGATTGAACGCGAAACGAGCACCGGCGAGAGAGAACGACGCACAGCGATCCCCCGCCTGCGGATAAGGCGAGCCTCTCCGAGATAAAGCGAGAGTCTCACGAGGGGGACCGCCGAGTGGTCCGGAGCAGCGCACCGGTGACGTCTTCGAGACGATGTCGAGCCTAGCCAGGAGACGGAAGACCTCGCTGCTGGGCTCCAAGAGGTGGTGGCAGGGCGGCTGCTGGGCCACCAGGAGCCACCAGGAGGCCTACCTGCGCAAGCTCTACGCCAGAAAGAACGAGCACGCGGGGAAAGTCGAGGACGAGGCTGCCAGCCGTCAGGAGCTGGAGAACACTTGGACGAATCCCGGCGCTGTCTACGAATTGCCCCCCGCGGACGAGCACTACCTGGACGCGTTCCTCAGGAGCAGAGAGGATGGGATTCACGAGGGAGACGTCGTCGGGGTGGTCGTGGGGTGTCCAACCCTGGCTGCCTCCGGCACCAGTCCCACGGAGAAGTGCGTCGAGTACCTGAACGGCGCCCATGATGCCGCGGCGGCCTTCGAGCAGGATCGCAGGCTCGGGGAGCAGGAATGCAACCGCGTCGCCGATTGCAGCTCCCTGCATTCGGGTTACGATGTCGCCGCCGCCTCTTCGGAGTGAGTTCACCGCGCCCTGTTGCTCCCGTTTCTCGCGCGGACCGCCCGAGGGGGGAAAGTTTCGTATCCGTCGACCAGGCCTCGATCTTTTTCTCGATCGCCAGTCGATTGCGATCGGATTTTCGAGTGTTTCGTTGGTTGGATCGAGTTAGAGGTTGAACGCGACGATGGGGCGGGTACTTTCTATTTATCGAGACAGGGTTAATCTATTTGAACAATTTATTCAAGTGTCGATTGTTACGGGTTTTGGGAGTGTAAGCGGGACGATGGAGTGGTCCTTCGAGTCGGGACACGTGACCTTCGGTTTTCGTTGGGTGAGTCGATGATTCGAGACGATTAGCGTAATGTAGCGGTGACGTCGAGTCATTTGTTTACTTGTACAAACGACGCTAGGTTTCTAATGTCGCGGAGATCCTTATCCACGGTTGCGCCGTGGAGCGCTGATAATGAACGACTATGACGATGATAGTCGCAACGAACGCTACGTAATAACAATAACGACGATACGAAAATTCTGGTAGCGACAATGCCGACAACAATAACGATGACGCTCCTCGAAATTGCGCCGATTTTAAAAAAAGCGTGTGAGCGTTAGTTGTTTGCGCGTAACCGTTAATCATTATCGTAATACTCGTTTATCATTTTCTCGCGAAGAGGCACAATCTTTTAATGGATCGTAAATGGTAAATCGTAATATATGATGATTTTGAGTGCTCTCGGTTTTATAGTCTGCGGATTTCTGTAGCGAATGGTACGCCCCTCCGTTTCCTAGGAATTAAGAAAGCAAATGGCGGATGGGTTTTATCGCTTCCCGTAGGAATGGAATGCCACAATTTTTTCTGGGAACATGGTTTTATATTAATATGCAACGCGCACTGTGCCGTCGCGGATTGCGGCGTTGCGGTTAGGGTTGTCGTGTCGGAAACTTGGTTTATAGAGCTTGCTTCCGAATCTAATCATTTCCTCTTCGCTGTCACCAAATTCCGAACTTTTCGTTTCCAACGGGAGCGCGTTCCTTCGTCATCCGCGCAATAAATTCGATAATCAGTCGTTTCCGGTCAAGCATAACGGTCTAGGCGTTAAATCTCAAATGATAAATGTGGAATTTATTGGTTTCAGAAGTGGGATAGATTCATTTATGCCGTCCGTGGTCAGGATAACCGATAAATTTAATTTACGACATCTAATAGAAATAGAGTTTCTCGCTCTCCGCCGGAGAGAAAGGTTAACGCTAATAGCGTTCGTTTTATGCAGTACTTAAGTCCGTACTTGACTTTATGTTCTTCCAATGAATCCTGAGATTGAGTTAACATACGATTCCTCGGCGACGTCGGGTCGACGGTCAGGTTTTATCGGGTCAGGTCGTGTTCGAGACGCGGGAGTTCGGTCATGCAATATTTTTGGTACGTTATTTTCAAAATCGTGATGATGTAACGTGAATCGCGACGATGACTATGTGCACGATGATAAACTATAACGATGACGATGATTTTTATATAACGTACAGTAAAGACTGGATAAGTGCAAGACAGGATTGACCGCATAAACGCAAAATGACTAAACCGGGGGATCCCCTTTGACACTGGGCGATCAGAACAATGTAATATGATTCTAACTGAAATATCGGTGAAACATTATTATCGTCACCCCGATACGCTTTTCCCGACTGCTGTTTTCCTCGGACCTCTTTCTCTTTCACTCTCTGTCCTTTTCTACGTTCTACAGAATAGAAACCTCGACCGGAGAACTGCAATGTTTGACAGTTAATCCAGTCTTTACCGTATATGCATACTTTGATTTAGAACACGCATCTTCGACGATTAGCTTCGATTAACTCCGAACGATAGCAAACTATCGATTTTCTCATCCACTTCTACGCGACGTCGTTCGAATTCTAACGAGATCCGTCGATTGTCGTTTTTCAGAAAAGTGTGCAGAAGCTGCAGGTGCCCGAGGGAGGAGCATCAGCGGACTTCGACGGAGGCGGGCGGTCCCTCGGGACTGGGCCTCGGTCCTGGCCCGCCGATGGCAATGGCCATGGCGTTCCAAAGCGGGGCCGCCGGTTCTTCTCACCAGGAGCCCTTCAAGAGTCCCGTCCAAGCGGCACCGCCCGGGCTGGCGCTTCAGGAGGCCCTGATGCATCATCAGAGGCACTCGCAGAGCGACGATGACAGCGGATGCGCGCTGGAGGAGTACACGTGGGTGCCGCCTGGTCTCAGGCCGGATCAAGTAAGAAACAACCGTCCAATCGTGCGTGGAATACTGATCCGAACCGACGGCTGCTCGATTCTCTTCCTCCGCCTGTCGAATTTAGTGGGTTACGGCCCATGAAATGTCCGTTTTTTTTTTCCCTTTCGTTCTTTCAACGTTTCAATCGAGCCACGTCGTTCCTCGAATTCTTGCGAGTGGAAAGACCTCGCGGAGCGAAACGTGCGTCCGCAGGAACACGATCTTTCTATTCTTATTTTTATTTCAAATTGCGCCCCCCCGTAGAGTATTAAATTCATTTTAATATGTTCGTTTTTCAAGGGGGAAGCCTACCTAGGAAAGCCGAACCTTGTTAATTCGAGATATTTTTAAATCTAAAAAGTGCTACGCATGCCCCAAGAATCCTTCTTTCGTATACCCTCGATCTTATTAACGGAACGCGTTACGTTTGTCCCGAAAAACTAGGATCAAGAGATATCGAAACGAGGCCGTTAAAAATCGTTCTTTCCGATACCGTGTCGGGACAGAAGTCGCCGCGAAACGTTTACGGCCGACGAGGGACAAAGAAAGAAAAAGAATCGGAACGTTACGAAACTTTCAGGACTCGTTGACTCTCGAGTGGGCGCGCCCTGATACGCTATGCGCCGCGCGCTGTGACTTTAGATTTGCATAAAGGTTTGCTTTCTCTCCAGCTGATTTATCGAGACAGTTACGGGAGGCTTGCACTCGAAACGTTTTCGGATTTACAGAAACATCGAGAATATCGCGTATTATCCCTTTCTGCTACTCGTGGATCCAGAGGGTCTCGAGGATCTTCCGAAAGATCGGTACGGATGTAACATCTAGCAACTCGAGAGAGTGTCGCGTAGATTCGGATTAGGATTGGACGGCGATCCGAAAAACGTAATAAAACATCCCAGGCCCGTTTCGGTGTTTTGTTCGAGGGAGGAGCGTCCGTCACGTGTCCCGTGTAACTGTAAGCACTTCGTTTCTGAATTATTCATGAACGATGAATATCGAGTATCGCGGTGGCGATAAATAAAAGCTCTCGACTGTGACTCCCATTTAGTAGAGGGCGTAGCACTCCGAAAGTAAATATTAGAAAATTACCAATCTTGCTCGTCTTCTCGAGTACCGAAGACGTGGATACTGCGTCATCGGTCACGAAGGGAACCAAGTTCCGAACGCCTCGAATATCCTACCCATTCGTCGCTATTCTAAACCGTAACGACCGAAAAAATATATAGGATCCTATAAAATATATAGGATCTTTATTTTATTAGGAATTGACAAGGAAAAACAAATTATGTTGCCCTGAAAAGTAGAGGTTTTAATTTCTATAATATTATTCTGATATTTACATTATTTACAATATTTACAACCTACCTGAAAAATAGAGATACGACAATTGAAGTTTTTATATTGTCTTACGTCAATTCCTCTCCTTTCCTTACATTTAACGAAATTTAGCGAAATCTAGTGCAGAGCGCGGCAAAATTCAAGTCTTGGTAAAATATATTTTCCTTACATATATATATACACACGTCGAATCGAGTATAACCTCTTCCTTTTCGAAGTCTGTTAAAAACCCGCGGTCACCGACGAGCACAGCGTCCGGCGAACGCGTGTCAAGGCTCCTCCCTCCTCTCGCAAGCAAAACGACGATCCTCGAAACGACCAAGCCCCGAAGCAGTCAGGCAAGGGGCACCGGTGCTCTGTTCCACACGATTGCTCTTAATTACAATCCGTGGCGCGTACACGTTGTCGCAGGTACACCTGTATTTCAGCGCGCTACCGGAAGACAAGATCCCGTACGCGGGTAGCGCGGGCGAGCGGGAGCGGGTGAAGCAGCTGCTGCAACAGCTACCGCCACACGACAACGAGGCGAGGTACTGCAGCGGCCTGTCCGAGGAGGAGAAGCGGGAGCTCAGGGTGTTCGCGGCCCAGCGGAAACGCGAGGCTCTAGGACGGGGCCACGCCAGCCAGCTCGAGAGGCCCCACGGCGCGGGATGCCGCGAGTGCGCCAGGCCGATCGCCGCTGGTGAAATGGCGGTCGCGGCGAGCCGTGCTGGACCATCGGCGCTCTGGCATCCGGCGTGCTTCCTCTGCTGCGTCTGTAGGCAGCTGCTCGTCGACCTGATATACTTCTGGCGGGACGGCAGGCTCTACTGCGGCAGGCACCACGCGGAGACCCTGAAGCCGCGATGCTGCGCCTGCGACGAGATCATACTGGCGGACGAGTGCACCGAGGCGGAGGGCAGGGCATGGCACATGAGGCACTTCGCCTGTCTGGAGTGCGATCGCCAGGTAAAACGATCGGGAATGCCTCCCATGGGACGACGATGGGATTCGAACAGGCTCGAGTCTCGTTGCGATCATTCTCTCGCGAACCTTGTCCCTTTCTCTTGTTAGGATAACTCGAAGCTTAACATTTTACCGACCCGGTAGTCGATTAATCGACTTTTTGTCCGCAACGTTTACCGACCGGTAGCTGCTACGGTAACTAGCAAGTATTTGTTGCATTGAATCGAGATACAAGTTGCTTTGCTCTGTAAGCTCTCGTATTTTTATACGATTCTCGGTGCCAGGGAAGATCTGCTGCGGAGCGGCCGGTGAGAAGGGCATAGGATCTTGAACCGCTACCGGTCGGTAAAGTGTTAAGAAACTTGGTTAGGTCGAGTTATAAGAGGCTTGATGTCCGAGTCTTTGAGTGACCTCGACGCATAGATAGACACTCGATAGATAAGGTACTCTATTGGTAACGTAGCATACCCTGACGGTAATGTAGGACCCTAATCTTACCACCAGAGTGTTTCACGTTACCAACGAAACTACATATCCTATCGATCGAGGCTCTATCTCTACGTTATCGACGAAGTCAAGGGGTTCGTTGACTCCGAACCCCTTACCCCCGCTGATTCCGATCTAAAAAAAAATTAAATCGTAGCTTTATTTGAAATCAATAAATCAAGGCCTCGAGTAGTCGAAGCCTTTCGAAGAGGCCAAGTCTCTCGAGTCCACTCTGGCAGAGGCCACAATTTCAAGAAAACTAGTAAAAGGGGTCATGAATAATTTGTCGCATGCACAGCGTAGATGCCAAAGGACTGCCGAACGGAGACGCGTTAAATGATAAGATAGACTGCAACAGGTTTCTCGTCCTCTCGGTGTTATTAGCACCTTGCAGGTGGCCTCGATGGTGTCGGTTTAGCTAGGCTTCTCAGAGCGTATATACCTCCCGATTTAGCGTTGATATCGACGAAAGTGTTGCATCACGGTGCGACGTATGTTGATCTTGGACAGGTCCACCTTCCTAATCCTTGGTTAGTTAAAAATAGTAATAATAGTTGTAGTCGAGGTTGAATTGCTAGGAGTCGAGAAGTGAATGCAATTCTCTACTTCTATCAATTCTATTCAGACTAAGTAACCTCAATGGGTTTGCTCGTTTCGTGACGAGACGATTATTTACACCCAAGCAGTCCACGTTTGTCGAGAGTCATCCACCGCCCTGCTCCAGACCTGTCAACCTCAGAGCTATATCCCCTTCGTATCGCGTGACGGCCGTCCATGGCATACAGTTCGCGCACAATAACTCATTGAATCTAGGTGTCGATAAATGTCACACGCAGTCCACGCGCTGTACATCTCTTTTGTGCTAGACAAAGCTTCTTATCGTCCCTGTGAACGCGATAATGAACGATCGCGTGTCTGGACGAACGTCACCATCGGATAATCCGTGGCTGCGTTCGCTTTCTGCGCTATTGACGCATCGATCAGCCCTTGTCAGGGACGTCCACTGAGGGAACGCGTCGATTCGACGCAGAAATAAAAGTGCCGGGTGTACTAGTGGGCGACGAATTGGGAAATCGTCAGATCTAAATAGCAGGTGCTTGGTGGCACCTCCTGTCCTCGCCACTAGAGGGACACCTCGCGTTTCCGTGTTTCTCACAAGCGCTCGGTCTCGCCTAACGTCCTACCTATTAGGTTGTTCCAAAAGTTTCTTTCGCTTTATTAATAAGTAATACATGCACAATAATTTACGTTACATTGCTGAATTGTGCACGATTCGTTTTGCTCCGTTACGGTTACAACATGAATATCTATGAAATTAGATTGTCTATTTATGTAAACACGACCACATAAAATAATTGAGCGCAACTCGCGAAAGAAACTTTCGGGACAACCTAATACAATCTACTCCCGCCGACTACTGAACATCTCGGCGTCCAAGGCACGGGCCTGCTAGGTAGCCTTACCGACGAGTCCACTATAGCACTGTAGTATTCGAACGCCACCGCGTCTCCTAATATTTAGGTTTCCTGTTACTTTAGATAATTCCCTACGATCCCGCGACCTAGATTCAAAGTGCCAGTCATTCGACTCCAGATGCAGAGACACTTCCAACGAAGCGACAAGCTATGCTCCCAGGAAGGTCTCCTCCCTTCTCGAAGTCGACCAAAGAAATTCAGGGACCGGGAGTCCCTTGGATCAGCAATTTCTCGCCTAAATTTGCATCGTCTTTTCCAGCTCGGGGGTCAGAGGTACGTGATGAGGGAAGGTCGACCGTATTGTCTACGCTGCTTCGACGCCTCCTTCGCCGAGTACTGCGACAGCTGCGGGGAGCCAATCGGCGTCGATCAAGGACAAATGTCGCACGAGGGTCAACACTGGCACGCGACCGAGGCATGCTTCTGCTGCGCCACTTGCCGCGCTTCCCTCCTCGGAAGACCGTTCCTGCCTCGAAGAGGTGCCATTTATTGCAGCATAGCTTGCAGCAAGGGGGAACCGCCGACGACACCGAGCGACTCCTCCGCTGGCCCGCCTCCGCCGCCTTCCTTCCTCAGGTATGCAGTCACCTGATCCTAGGGTTGGACATACTTGCGATGTTAGGTAGAGATATCGAGTGGACACTCGAGTGCGAAATAGAAATACCACTGCTGAAAATAATTCCAACGACCTTGAAAGGCCTACAGTGTTCTTCAAAGACTTGTATTTGCTTATGGTTCTGATGAAGATAGCTGTTCGAAGAGTGGGAATCATAACTTATCTCATTACCGTTCCATTTTCAGAACTGGTCGGAGACAACCGCCAGCCAGTGAAGGTTCGTCGAGTCCACCGCCCCCTCCGCCACCTCCCCCGCCGCCAGGATCCAGACACACCCTGGGATCACCGCGCAATTCACCTCGTATGACCAGGAAGCATCATCAAACGTCTGCTTCTCTGGCGACGACGCCCACGCAGAGCACGCTGAGTCCCGAATTCACGGCCGAAGGGTTCCCTTCGAGCGGCTCCAGGCCCAGCGGCCTCGACCGGGTGCTCCTCGAGAGGAATCTCGAGAGACTGCTCCAAGATCGCAGTTCTCATCCTGAAGAAAATCGCAGCGAATTGGGAAGGTATATTTACTCCCTGTTTAACAGAACCGCGAAGGTTAATCGATTCTCTCTTTCAGAGGTGAGAGGAGGATCTCGTTTCTCCTCTCCGATTCTTCTTCCTTCTTCTTATAAGACAATTCTGCAACGTAAAGTTAAATTCTTTACCAAACCCTTTCTTTTACCAATCAACCCTTTCTTTTACACAACCAAAAGCCATCATGGCGTCTTTCACACCCCTCCAAAGACTAAGAATCTCGACTTTCTTTGTGTTCCAGACTGATGCAAGCAAGGGATCGAGAGCCGTTGAGATGCGTGCAGAACTGCGCTCCTTCCCACGCGTCGAGTATGCCGGAACTTCCGCCGCCACCGCGGCCGTCGTCGGGAGCTTCCGCGTCTGCGTCTACGTCAACGGGGATCGTTATCGCCGGCGGCATCGGTACGTTGTCCGGTGGCAATTTGGCACACGAGTCGGCGACGTCGCCGACGAACCTCCACGTCGGCCAAACAGACCCCCCGACGCCGACGTCGCGACGCGTACGGTTTCAAGGGGACTTAGACGTGAACGATCACCCAGGAACGTCGTCGCGCGTCCCCCTTTCGCCGACGAACGACAGGAATTCGTCGTCCTCGCCCTCCCCGACGCCAGCCTCGCTGTCGAGGACGAACGTGTCTCGATCGAGGAGCTTGCAGTCGGAGGAAGTCGCTGGCACGTCTGCTTGGGGTGTGTAAGCTTTGGTATTTCGTATGTGAACGACCAGAAATGATCAGAGAATAAAAATCCATTGTACAACAATTAACATCCATTGCCGTTAGCGAATATAATAAAATTGTGTGTCGATAGAACAGATAACATTGTATTACTTATTAATTGCAGGAGGGTCCAAGTCGAGAATCGACGGCGAGGAGGAGGACGCGGAGAGCTGCTGTTCCACCTGCAGCTCCTCGAGCAGCTCGGACGAGGCTGCCGCGTACGCTCTGCCGCCGAGAAGAGCGTACGGCGGCGTCAGGATATCGTACGTGCCCAACGACGCGGTCGCCTGCGCGCGAAAACGCGGCCCGACCTCGTCGCCGTCGTCGAATCAGCCGCAGAGGGACACGGAGAAGTGCGTCGTGTCCTGATGACATCCGCGACGAATAGTGACGATGATCCTTTCGTACGTGCCACCGAAGGAAACGCTTCCTCTACTGTGGAGTCGTAAGACGCGGAGGGACTCGAGCCTCCAACGGGCACGGAAGTGCAGCGAAGGGCCGACAAATGCGAGACAAAACAGAGTTCCTAACCGACGGCCACGTTGCTCGAGGCTCGAGGCGTCAGCGATGAGGACTCGTGATGGAATACTCATTCGTGTAAATAGTGAATGTACTTCCGCACCGATCGCTCGCGTACACCGGACAATCGCGAGGATCGCGCTTTTTCCTTCTATTTTTATTACCCCGTTGATGTATTTGATAATAATAACGATAATAATAACGTTATATTTTATTACCACCGTCATTCCCGCTGCGAAGCGAGAGTTCAGCGCCGTGTACTTGTAGCTCGACAAGTCGAACGTTAATCCCTGGACTCGTGGGGTTCTTCCGTAGCCTTCTTTCAACCCTTTGGGCATGAGGGAGTTTTCATACCGCCGCCTGGAGCGAGCTTTTTCGCGTTTGTATAGTTTCGTGTCGACTGGTGGTTTTATTAGAAATGTTGCGGTTACGTGCTTGTAGGAAGATGCAGTATTATTGTATTTATTTGTCTACGTTAGAAAGAACTGAAAAGAAATGACAGGGTGCAATGTATTGCTTTGGCCCTAACCTTAAAAATATAAGTGTATGTTTGCGCTGCTCAAAGGGTTAAACTTCAGAACTTCAGTTTTACGCATACTTCATTCGTACAATTTGTGTTAAAAAGGAGTAGCGTACAAGATGCCCAAGGTCCTATGTTACCTGGTCTACGGTCTAATGTCCTGGTTTCTTCATGTCATTCATCTTTTTACACTCGGACAACGATCTTAGGGGCCTCTCGTTAATCCTTTGCGATTCTACGTCGAGCGAGGCTCAACGAAAATGTACTGAAATCAAAAAATGTGGATCGCAAAATGTTAACCTTGTCGAGCTACTCGCGTGTTTTACGGATTCTTCAAACTCCACCCACGCCAGTGTCCTCCCCTCGGATTCTTCCTCTGATCCAGAATTTTTACGACGCGAACTCCGCTCTGCGAGGTGTCACGTTACGCTTGTAAGTACAAACGACATTTCCGAACGATGTAGACAATCTGAAGAAGTATTCGGGAAATAAATCAAGACGATGTCGATCGAAGCGAACGTGTTGTTTTTAATGATACAGAATCGTCAGTGATTTTATCCTCTTTTGCTAACACCATGCTACTTATTTTTAGGATTTGCTGAATTAAGGTGGTTCTTTCCCAACTGTATTAGTCAAAAAAAAAGTAGAATACAGAAAGTATTAATAACGATATATTTTCTATAATAAAATTCTTATATTATTAATTGATTATGAATTTAAATAAAACAAGTAGTAATTGATACATTTGCAATTAGTCTTTCAAGTATTATTTTATTCAACATAGTCGTTATGCAATGGTGTGCACGGTAACTTCAAGATGACAACCGTGCCCCACTATGAGTTGCCGCATACTAGGGGCGCATCCGCCTGCGCCTACGAGATGGCAACCGAGCCGTCAAATCGGCTAGCATAGATTGCCGCATGAAAGGGGCACCTCTGCGCCTAGGAGATGACAACCGAATCGACAAGCAGGCTAGTATCGGTTGCTGCATACCAGGGGCACCTCTGCGCCAACGATGTACCAACTTCCTAACACATCCTACTACCTCTGAGTACCTCCTAACATCTCCTAATACCTCCTAACAACACTCAACAACTCTGAACGCCTCCTAACAACTCCTAACACCTCCTAACACATCCTATAACCTCCTAACACTTCCTGACACCATTTTAATTTCCTTTCATTTCCTAGCACATTTCACTTCTTTCCCTGGCACACCTCTTCCTCTATTGATGAAAAAGGTAAGTTTCAAGTTACAATTAAAAATTATGCCACCTCCTGGTTCATCATGCTCTCCTGATGCAAAAGGTAAGATTCGAGTCACAAAAAAAAAATTATGCTACCTCCTCACTCATCAAGTTCTCCTGATACAAAAGATAAGTTTCGAGCTATAAATAAAAGTTATGCCACCTCTTCGAGGATCATGTTCTCCTGATACCAAAATGTAAAATTTGGCCAGAATTCCCATACGTACCGAAAATTGTGCCCCTTGAATTAGGCAACCTATACTTACAGATATGTCGGGCAAGTTGCCTGCTCGTAGGCGCAAACGTGCCACCTCTTCGCATATACATGTTCTCCTGTTACCAGGAGTAAATATCCGACATTTCCCGTCACTATTTTGAGCGGCGTCAAAATTCAACATAGTTGCAACTCAGAAGTTCGGCACATTGTGACAAAATCCGAAAAATCGACTCGACTTTTCAACATTGTTGCGGTCCCGAGAAGAGCTATTTGCAACATTGTTGAGTTTGCAACATTGTTGCGGTCCCGAGAGAAGCTATTTGCAACATTGTTAAGCTTGCAACATTGTTGCAGTCCCGAGAGAAGCTATTCGCAACATTGTTGCAGTCTCAAGAGAAGCTATTTGCAACATTGTTGAGCTTGCAACATTGTTGCAGTCTCGAGAGAAGCTATTTGCAACATTGTTGAGCTTGCAACATTGTTGCAGTCCCGAGAGGA